ACCATATACTATCAGATCACCATCATCCAATCTAGATCCAGTATTCTCAACGTGCAGTCCACCATGCACCTTCAACAACCTCCCTCACTGAATCCAAAAGCACCTTTGGGCTGACAGCAACTTGGGTTCAGCAAATTTCAAATCTTATACCTCCCATATTTCTACTGACATCCAGACCCATTTCATTTTTTATTTTCTTTTTAGCTTATTTATTTATTTGCTTTATATTTATTAACCTTTTCAAAAAAAAATTAATAACAATATAGAATTAGAAAAAATCATAAAAAATATAGTTTTAGGTTTTTTTTATTAAATTAATTTTGTAAATTAATTAATAATTACTTTAACATTTTGCTTAATTTGAAATTAAATAGACTGAGATTAATTCATTTGCTTTTCATAATTAAAAATCCAAAAAAAACTTAGAATTATTTCTTTTCTTTAAAATTTCCATTCTCATTAATAAATTAACTTTCTTTAAATCAAAATTTAGGTTAGTTAATTTTACTTAAACCATTTTCTTACATAAAACAAAAACAAAAACAAACAAAAAGATTTCCTTTCACTTAGGTTTTAGACGTCTTTTCTATTTCGCACGCGTTATTTACTTTCACACTTTTTTTCTTCCATACTAATGTATTTGCTTATAGGATGTAATAGACTATAATTAGGACTTGTTACTTTACTGCTTTCTTTATTTCCCCCCAAGTTTTGGACATGTAAATAATCCCCTCCCCGAAGTCTTGTGATAGCTAGGATTTACAATTCCCGCACTTTTCATTTCTGCAAATTATTAACTGTTTAGATGCATGCTAACTAGGATTGTATGGCAAGAATAAAATAAAACACTAGCAAACCTAACACAAGACAAATAACTAAATACAAGCACAATTGCACATATACACCTCTAGGGTATCCCACTTTGGTTGCCTTTGGAAAAACAGTCATAAATCTCAAAACCTGAGAGATTTTAGTGGCTACCCTCCGGTTTAAAGATCATAAGTCCCTCGATGACCCTATCGACGTTGCCTCGGTATGATCTTAAAAACCCTAGGATAGTTATAAAGTTTCTTACCCAGTTGCCTTTGTGACTGTATAAACGTCCCTCTGAATGTCCCTCAAACATCCAACGATAGGGCTACCTACTCACTAATAGTAGGATAACACTGTCTAAAGGAAAAGAGGAAAAGAACAACCTTTCGAGTAAAGTAGATATCTGTTAGATGCTTACTCAAACAATTTTTACACTTACACAAAACTTCTTTCAAAAAACATTTTCAAACACTTTGTATATGTTCTCTACCATTCCAAGAAACATTACAAAGTTCACCGCACTAAGGCGCTTTCAAAAATAATTTTCAAAACACACAAAGCACAAGGTATTTCAAAATGAGCTAAGCATCTAAGAGCCCGTAGATAACTACAGATGGAAAGGGTGCTAACACCTTCCCTTTCCATAATCAACCCCCTTACTCAGAAATAATTTCGAAAGGTCTTTTTCTGTTCATTTCACCCTTTCCTTTGTTGGATAAAAGAAAATTCGGTGGTGACTCTTGCTTACCGCAACATTTGCGAATACAAACGCAAAACCAGTATAACAATCAGTTCTGCCATTGCATTACAACAATTAAAACTTGCATCATCTCAGTAAGTTTGGCCATGCCTAACTTCAACTCATCAATTTCCAATCTAACTTCCATGTTGTGTTGTTCTTGGTTTTCCATTCTCAATCTGACGACAGCTCTAGTTCCATAGTTGTGTTAAGGAAACAACTTGACGGTTGACAGGTAACTAGAAGAAAGAGATAATTGAGAATGAGATCCTGGACAACCTGAATGTATGCACGATGCAGATGATGCAAATGATATGCAATGTCATGTAATGCAAAGCACTACAAAAAGATCACAAGTTTGATACTAAATCAGAACTCAAAGGAATCAAGTACCATAAGGATCAACATCTCTACCTGTAAGAATAAATCCCTTCCCACTCACGGGTAAAGTCTAAGTCAGTGTAAGGTCAAAAGGTAAATCAGAATCGTGAGTTCGCCTGAAAGTACTACCATCGTAACACCTACGTGATAACGATAGTACCCCATTTGAACCTCGTTTGAGCGTGGAATACATGATGTCACTAGTATGGTCTGCACCCAATAGCCGTCATGACTCAACTCTAATCCTAAGTTTTCCTAAGTGTTTCTCTCTGACATGGATACTGGGCCTTTTACCTCAAAGTAACACCCCACCTAACCTGAAAAACCAGAAAAACCAGCACAACACAACATACCTACAGAATAGGGAAAGCAATAAAATACAAGGGATACAATAAATAAACAACAGGTGAAGCATATAGGTAAACACTCAGAGAATAGAAACAAACAAAGCTGAGATTGACCCACTTAGGAAAGAGTCCCCAATGAAGTCGCCAAGCTGTCGCACTGTAGCGAAATATAGCGGTAAAAATTTAAGACTAAGCCATTAATTGACTTATCTCATACAGTGAAAGTCGCCACCTTACTTTATTGTTTCCAAAAAGATAATAGGAAAAGAGCAAAACCCAAAATAAAATAAAAAAGAGATCAAGGTACGGGGGTCGGTTATGCAAAGGAAATGTATTAGTACCCTAAGCATCTACAATATTCCGCAGGATCCACTTTGTTTGTTCTTATCAAAGAGTGTGTTATCTAAATCTTAAACTTGTCAAAGGGAATTAATGAATTTACAAACAAAAGAAATATTTTTTACTATTGCTCCCTCCGCAGTTGTGAACATGTGCCTACATACTCCCTTCGTGCAATAAGGGATCATGGCACTCGTAGTTCTTCTTAAAAAGAACACAAATAATATGTTGATTGATTTTAAATTAAGAGACAAGTCGTCATTTTTAGGAGAGAAATCTCAACTAATCGCCCACAAGGTGTGAGAAAGATGGACCATGCGTCAACATGATGAGGTTTTGGAAACGCCTCTGGCACTCAATGAATCATGTCTAATCCTGAAAAAGGTTTTAAAGGGAACATGTGCTCGAACGCACAAAAAAGTTTGAATGAGTTGGATGTTTTGTTAATTTGAAAAAGGATTTACGAATTGAATCTTAATAAAGTCCAAAAATGGAAGAAAGATCAAGGTTCTGATCTGTACCGCATCACTAGTCCCCCATAAGACTTAACTACATATGATTCACATCTTTATTTATTAAGTGTTTTAAGTTTGACTAATAAAAAGAAGTTTGAAAAGAAAAGAGTCGCTTGACAAAGTCAATGTTTATTATGAAAGTAGTTAAAGTTAAAAAACAATAAGGTTTTGAAAAATATGAGAAGGTTTTGAAAATTGAAGAATGATGAGGAGATTAAGAGAATATCCTAGTACAAGAAGGTAAAAGATAAGATAAGGAGGATCTGACCAAACAGAAGCTCATACTTGATATAAAGAAATCAATATAGTGTTCCCATCTCTTTGGATTTAAAGCCACAATAAGATAAATAAGCCAAGAGTATACCAAACCTCATGTGAAAATAAATCACACGCAGACAACATCAAAGAAACCCAAGGCATCAGATAAAACTCAAAGCATCGGATAAAGCGCCTCAAATAAAACTAAATCACAAACCAGAAAATTTCACCAGGTAAGCTCAAGATGTCGGATAAGAATCTCTGTATCAAATGAGGTTCTCATCAAACTGATAAAACCAGAAAAACATAGAAATAATCCAAACATATACTATATAGGAACTTTGATAGTTCTGGAAAAGACCAAACTGCCCATGATTCTTTCAAACTGAGCCACGTCTCCTTCTTGCTTGGCTTTAATTCAATCGGCAAATTTTCTTTCTCTCTCTCACTCGTCCTATTTCACTCTCTCTCTCTTTCTCTCTCTTTTCTCTTCGTTCTGCTCTCTTCATTCTCTTCTTTTTTCTCTTCCGCCCCCTCTTCCTTTTCTTTTTTCTTTTCCTATTCCACTTCTTCCTTCTTTGTCATCTTCTTCCTTCTCCATCTTCTTCCTTCTCCATCTTCTTCCTTATCCATCTTTGGTGGAAACTTACTTTTAAGAAGATATCTTTGGTAGAAACTTACATTTGAGAAGATCTCTTTTGAGAAACTGATATGTGGGTAAGAGATTTCAGCCACTTCTATTTTGTTTCTATTTGGTTTTCTTATAAACTTAGGATTTTGATTTTGTAGTTAGGGTTAGGGTTCTTAAAATATTTCTTAAATTGTTGCCAGTTGCGTTATTCGAAATTGTTTTCGGTCGAGCTGAGGTTCCGAGCTACGTCAAATCAAAAGGTGGTCAGTGGCGGTGCATTTTCTGAATGGGATTCTTCTAATGAAACTTCGTTTGTTCGAAGCTTAAACATGGCGGTGGTGACGACAAGAAGAAAAGAACAACATGGACTGGAGAATAACATAGGTATCTGAAATATTTTACTTCAATTTAGGTTTTGATTATGTACTATTGTCTAACTAAGACTTTAAATGTTGTCGGTGTTTCACTGTTTTTACAATGTTGTCGGTGTTTCACTGTTTTTATTTCTTCAATATTTGAAACAGGGAAACAAAATATATTTTGAAGAAGACAAAATAGGAGAACTTGATTCCTGGTGTGGTGTGACTGCGAAAAATTGATTTTAAGAAATACCTGAAAAAATTATGTTTCAACCTTATTGTAGTGGCTATTCTCATGAAGCAAACTTTTGCCCTTTGTTATTGCATTGTTGATCTGTTTTAGTTTATTCGGTACATCGTTGTTCTATTATTTTTAGTGTATCTTTTCATGATTATACTTCATACCTGTCTTGGCCTGGTGCGCTTTCAGGTTTGATGCTGGTGGTGTTTAGTTGATGTTAGAGCTCTGTTTAGTTTGTAATATTTGAGTTGCAACATGCTTTTACATGCTTTTGTCTAAATGTTCTAAATATAATATATCCAAGGCTGTTAAATTTGTAATTATAATGATGAAATTGCAAATTTACTGGTTTGCAGCTTAGTGGTTCCTCAGATTTCATGGATTTACAATGCTACAATGAGTTTGCAGCTTTGTTTATGCTTCTAAGATTTGATTTATTCATAATATATTCTAAACTGAGCAAAAAGTTTGCAGCTTTGGGTTCTCTTAACAAACTTATTGAAGGATGTGGAACATCAATAACAGTAACTATTAAACATATAGCAAGCATGTTTTTCGATTTTTCTATGTCGGTGTTATTTAAGTGTTATTGATTTAATGTCGTTTCATAATTCATGGTTCTATTTCATATGTTTCTGGTCCCTTCAGTACCTTACTTTTTGTTTATTTTTTTGGCAGCCAGCACATGGAAAAATTGGTGTGGTTGATGAACAATGGATTGTTCATCAAACAATTCCTACTCTTGGTGAATGAGTTAGTCATTATCACTAACTTACATAGATATTTACTGCTACATATTTTCTGATATAATAAACTAAATTGATTGTGCTTTCAACCTGCAAATTTTTTATTAAAAGTGATTCTTAGATCTATATGTACAAATTTCAGGGAGAATATGATCATGGAAAAGACAAATATGATGCGGTATGTTTATTTGACACGAAAACGATATTACTGTCACAATTCTCTGCATTCATAGCATTACTATATAAAATCGTTTTTCTGATGTACTGTATGTGAAATTTGTGCGATATAGTAACAAGGAGTTTGTGGTTTTCATCATGTAAATCGGGTCATAATGAGATGCAAGAGTGAGTGGGCAGAATTTCAAACTCGCCTCATCAATTCTGATAAAGGGTATCTTACAGGATTTAGACGAAGTATGACAAGTTAACATATACTGTTTCCAATTCTAATGTACGTGCATTACTTATATTGATAGACTGCATATAAGTATATTTATCATAGGAAAGAAAGTTACATCTTATATGTATGGCTAATTATCATAAACTACTTGACTTCTGCACCCAATTTTGAACCAAAGCATGCGCACAATAAAGGATTTTGGAGAAGTAGTCTGCATGTGATTCAATATTTGAATGGTTTTGTATCTAAATAGTGCAAGAGTTTCAATCTGCTTTCAGTCATCCACAGTTAGAGTCAATGTAATGAAGAAATTACAAATAGTTAGAGTCGTTGGTGATGGATTTATTGTCGGTGTTCGATCACAGTGGCTGCCGGTGATTATTCTGAGACAAGTTAGTTTTCAACTTTTTTTCCAATTTGCTCTGTTAATATGATTATGAACTTCGATCGTTTTTCGGGACTACCTGTATTGTTCATTGTATTTTGTCTATAATTCAGAGTTTTAGTGGAGAAGTCCAACAATAGTGTTTGTGGTTGTTGATGCAGATGCTGAGTTTCACAGAACTATTTACACTAATCTGTGATTTCAAGAAAATTAGAGGCTGCAGTTACTCTGGAAAGAACATATACAAGTATTTTTTTTTTGTAGTACATGTTGATTAAATAAAAAATCATCTGAAATATTGTATTAACAGTATGAAAGAAATAACCCTTTAAACTAAAATTGGTTGATTTAAATAACAATATAGTCACAATAAAAAATAACATTTATGGGTGAAATCGACATATTTGGCATTGATATATTAAATATTAATAAATATTTAAAATATGAATTTATTATAATATTTTTAGTAAAAATATTTTGCAACAAATGAGAATCTTGAGTTACCAAATCATATTTTTCTTATATTATTATTTTCTTTACAAAGTTTCTCATTAATCATCTTTACTAAGTTATGACTTTTCTTTAAAAAAAAAAAATCTTTCTTATTCAAAATAACATCATAATATATTTAAATTATTCATCTTCAATTTAAGTTAAAGACAAAACTATCCGTTGTTTCTTAAAAACAACTATCTTTAAAACTTCTAAAAACACAATTTTTGATTCATAGAGTCACCCCACCTATGGGGAAAAGCATAGTACATTTCTTTTAAGCTTCCACAAAAGAATGTGCACATTTCTATGATTTTTTTTTGCAATAATCAAATTTAAAAAAAAATTGCAAATAACCATGTTTCAGAGAAAATTATGCAAATAACTATGTTTCAGAAAATCCCACAAAGGAGGAGTCAAGTGAGATGGCGCATATACTGACCCATTTGCCTTAGGCGTCATCTCATTTGACGCATGTTCTCACTTTTAGCCAAGTGAGATGGCGCATGCACTCTTAAAGTGAGAGGAGACACCATCTCACTTGGCCCATAGGGCAAAATACATTTTTTTATAAATAAGTCATCCGTTTCTCTGCCATTCTTCACACTTTCTCGCATTGTCTTCTTATTTTTTTCTCTGTTATTTGCGTCATGACATCTCTCATGATTTTTGTCAGAGATGATTACGTTATTTTATCGGCCATCAAATTTTCGATGAAAATAAAATTTTGTCACATTCACTCCATGGAGCGTCTGAAGAGAGAGTTGATGCGATGGCTAGAGGGAGACATCGAGGATGGGGAATAAATTAGAAGGATCTAGCGATGAAGAACAACCACCTGACCTGCAACAGGAAGACCTAATTTTTGATTGGAGGAAGTCAAAACAGACAGAGATGTAATGTTGATGATGCGTTGGTCAGATGAAATTGTTTTAACGGTTGTAATTTCTTAGACCTTTATCGTGTTTTTATTTGTTGTTTGCGCAAGGTTTGTTGTAACAAATGCTCTTAATGAAAAACCGTAATATTTATAATTTAAAAAAGTAAAGATATTTTGTAATACAATTTTTTATATGGTTGAGCTAGTAGCCCGAGTCGTATAATTTTTGCGATTGTGTCCGACCTGACGACATAAACCATACTTTCTTTCCAGCTTGTCAATGGAGTCCATTTCAGTTGTGATGCACTTGCTTTTGGGACAATCATTTTTATTCCTTCGCATTTGGTCATTGTGCCATACTATTTCGCCATCATATGCATGCCAATAATCAGGTTTCGCTACTAAAGGGAAGTTGTTGTTGTATACTTTGAGCAAGGTTTCAGACTTGTAAATGGGAGATAGAAGTTGTAATGCGTCTTGATGAGTATAGGCACATGTCGTAATGATATGAGAGTAAGGCATACGAAAGGCTTGAAACTTGCCACAATCGCACCAATGAGAAGGTGGTATAACCCTATACTATTGTCTTGGCAGCTCCTCGTTGTAGTCGATTGTCTCTTTGACAATGAAGTTGTAGCTGTGTCGGTCGAACCGTATAACCAGATGGGTGTTGGCTTTGACACTTTCTGCCTTAATATACTTCATACAGTTTTCACTCCATAGTTGTCCCGATTGCAACACAACATTCCATATTTCACCTCTTTTGGAAAACAACGAAGTCATCCTAAAATATGTTGATTTAACCAAAGCAGTTACTGGGAGGTTTCATATGCCTTTGAATACCCTGTTCATGGATTCAATCAAATTTGTTGTCATGTGTCCCCATTGTTGTTCATTGTCGTATGACCTAGTCCATTTCTCCACCGAAATATTATCGATTCACCTATCTGCTTCCGGATTTGACGATCTGATCTCGTTGCGATAATGTTTGAACGTGGGTTGTGTTAATGCATACCTTGCATTCATAACCGCTTTCCTAAGAGCTTTGTCTTTGATCTCCCTCGTGAAATTTTGGACGACATGTCTAATGCAATAGACATGCGTAGAAGGAGGGTCATGCCAACTGTTTGCAAGATTGTTGTATGAACTCTCAATAGATGTATGTTTATTAGAGATCAAACAGAGATCTGATTGAGGAGCCACGTGTGTTTGGAGATTCTTGAGAAAGAAGCTCCAAGCACCACCAGTCTCTCCCTCGACTAGAACAAAGACAATTGGGAAAATATTATTGTTGCCATCTTATGCAACTGCCATCAGTAACGTACCTTTGTATTTCCTATACAATCAATTCCCATCAATTTGAATAATAGATTTGCATGATGCAAACCCTGTGATGCAAGGTTGAAAATCCCAAAACACTCAACTGAATATTCCATTTCCGGTGACTTGACTACCATCCGGGGTATACGCCGGCAGTGTTTCCATAATGTAAACAATATCTAGAGAATAAGTCTGAAGTGTATTCAGGTAGCAAGGAAGTTCTTTGTATGACTCCTCCCAGTTTCCATATACCTTTTCAATCGCCTTGGTCTTTGCTAACCACGCCTTTCGATATGACGAAGTATAGATAAATATCGTAGTGATGTGAGAGATTATGGTTTTCACCTTCAATGATGGATCATTGCTGACGAGAGGTAAGATTTCTTGACATATGAGATCATAATTTAGTTTCCGGTGATCCCGTGATTGAGTAGAATTAACGCACGTGTGGGTGGATATAGAACCTATGATCCAACAATCACCTCTTAATCTGTATGATGCAGTGAGCTTGAACATACAATCTGGATGGACACACCTGAGCTTATACCTTTCTGGATTTACACGATCTACCTTAAAATCGACCGAGTTGAGCATGTGAACTTTTTTATGGCTCGGATACAATCTTCTCTATTACGAAATTTGTCTTTCTCTTTTAAGTTTTCATCTGACTGCATATACAGATTGAAAAATAAATTAGATGACGGTTCATCTCCGCCCATGTTGAAGTTTGTCATGTGTGAAGGTGATGTGTAGATCTCGTTCGGAGGTATACCAGGTATCCCATCGTCTTCAGAATCATCGTTGACCATGTCGTCAAACTCTAACTTGTCATCTTCTTCTTCTTCGTCAACGATATCTACTTCTGCTTGTTCGGCATCGAGAGGATCCACCACTTGTGACAGTTGAGGCTCTCGTAGCACAATGTACAACTCAATAGAGTCGTACCCAGAATACTCATGACTAGAAAATATATTCTGAAGGTTCTCGTCATCTTGAACCTCAACCTTATAAAATATTATTTGGTTGTTACAAAAAAAAAACTGGATTCTGATAAAAGATTTGTGTCACGGGACCTCGTCCAAGTTTGGCCTCCAATCGTTTTTTGAAATACAAGAAATTGGCTTTCCTATTTAAACAAAATCAGATGTTCTCAGTGTCTCTAAACAAAAATCTAGAGGTGGGACAAATGTATGTCTCACTGTTGAAATGTGTATTGATCACATATTGTGGTGCAGAGGTCATTATGTTTGAGTGTTTGGAGGTTTGAGTGTTTGGAGGTTTGAATGTTTTGAGGTTTAAGTGTTTGGGTCTTTGAGTGTTCGAGTGTTTGAGCGATTGAGTGTAGAAGTGTTTTGATAAATGTAGGATTAAATAAGTTGTACTGAATTTGAATAAAACAATAGTAAGCAACCTCTAATTCGCCAACTGGAATGTCAAATCGTATTACATGCATGTAGAGATACCTTCCCCAAGGCTGTCAACTAGCTTGCACCTACACTGTAATCCATGCCACCTCTAATTCGCCAACTGGGATGGCGACACCTTTCAATTTTGTACTCATTCGCCAAGTTCAATGGCGCCTTCCTACACGTCCAATCGTATTACATGCATGCAGAGATGCCTTCCCCAAGACTTTCAACTAGCATGCACCTACACTACAACTCATGCCACCTCTAATTCGCCAACTAAGACGACGACATCTTTCAATTTTGTACTCATTCACCAAGTCCAATGGTGCCTTCCTACACGTCCAATCGTATTACATGCATGCAGAGATGCCTTCCCCAAGACTGTCACCTAGCCTGCACCTACACTACAACCCATGCCACCTTTAATTCGCCAATTGGGATGGCGACACCTTTCAATTTTGTACTCATTTTCCAAGTCCAATGGCGCCTCCCTACATGTCCAATCGTATTACATGCATGCAGAGATGCCTTCCCCAAGACTGCCACCTAGCCTGGACCTACACTGCAAGAGTGACACTTATCATCCATGCATGCACCCACCAACCACCTCATTTATTCACTCTGTGATAAAATTTTGCCTATAAATACAGAGCCTCACATACTTCTTTTGCATCAATAATCATCTCACTCTCTGCTACAAACTCTTTCATAATCTCAGACAATTTCAACCATGGCTCTTCTCACAATGGACGATTCTCACAGAGGCATAAGGGACAATATTGCAGCGTTTGTAAGTTTCTTGTATATTTATATTAATGATTTATACATCTTATGGACTCTTACACTTCTTACATTTTGAATTTAGGATACTAAAAGATTCAAAATCCAGTCATACAACTACCTTGCTCCCGACCCGTTGATCGTGCCCTATCTCGAATACGCAGATTTCAGAAATGTTATAAAGATCTCCAACTGTACGATTGATTCAAAGTTCATACTTGCAATATTGAAAAAGATGGAGACCAGGGACCCACATATTTCATCTACCAATAGGTGAATGTACCGTCACACTAGAGGACATGTACATGTTATTGGGTCTCCCTGTCGATGCTAAGGCGGTTAACAGGTCGATTCAACAACCCAATTCTCTGTGCGAGGAATTGTTGGGCAAGGATATGGTTAAAGGTGGTGGTGCTAGAGGCCAGGATATACTACTTACTGAACTCAAAAATCATTATGTGACTCTAGAGTTGAACGAAAATTCCTCCGAGCTAGCTAAGGTAATAAAAGCTAGAAATTATATAATGATACTTTTTGGAACTTTTTTATTTCCCGAAAGTACGGGAAACAGTGTAAATTTCATGTATTTAAATTTACTTAGAAACTTTGAAAAAACTAGAAAGTATAGTCGAGGTTCTGCTGTTTTAGCCCATCTATACAGTGACTTGTGTAAAAATGCAACCAAGGAAAAATGTACTTTTTGTGGATGCGCTTTCTTACTTCAAGACTGGGGTTGGTGGAGAATAGAGTCCCTAAACCCCGTCAATAATAACGTATTCGTTTTCCCATACGCAACAAAGTAAGTCAATAACTTATATCATTTATTATTCATCTGTTCACCAAATATATGATAAAAATAAACTATTTTTCAATTCCTTTAGGTACTGCGTGACGGGTATGAATTACGACAAAAATCCAACATTAAATATCGCTCTATATCACAATCTATTGGATCACCTTGGCCCAGATGATGTACGTCATATCTTTGAACTTTTCTACTTTTAAATTATTTATTTATTACGTTTTCATTAAGCTGATTTAATTTTATCCACAGTTTATCTGGAGACCATATTTGGGTTTGGACCATGAATTAAACTCCGAGGACGCAGCAATTTGGAGCGCAAAAACTGCAATTATACAGTTCAATGTTGTGGAGATGCACTACAGCGACCGTATCAAGATGCAGTTTAGAATGCATCAAGAGATACTCTGCGATCCAACTTGTTTGTCCGTGTGACATCTCAAAAGGGTCGATGTCCAATGGGGTCTTACCAACTGAAAATATTTTTGCTCCAGAATGGTGTAAGATGTGGCAGAGGCGTCACCGACATGTCTTGCAATTCTCAATTTTCCTCAACCATGGTAATATACGACACACAAATCAATATTTAGCTTGGTACAGATCGGTTAGTAACCCAAAAACGCACGTGTCTCATCCAAGGTATTTGGTTGACCCACGAACACAATGGGCACAACCCTCATTTCCCCAACAACAAACACAACACACATCAATCTCCCACCAACCTCTCCGGCGAAACAGATCCACAACCACCCAACTACAATCACCACCACAATACGAATACACCCACATGCCCCACAACCAACTACCATCACCACCTCAATACCAATACCCCCATATGCCCCACACCCAACCATAATTTCAATCACAATACCAATACACCCACATGCCCCACACACAATTCCAGTCTTCTCCATATCCCAATATAGGCCCCTCAACATCTAACCTTAGTCATGATCTGGGATTTTCCGAAGAATATGACCCAACCGACCCAACTTACCATCAACCACCACATCACCAAAGCATCCAACATTCTCAATACCAAACACCCCAGGATTCATTTCCTTCCTACTACCCTTACTCAGACGACCAGTGCTATAGGCCAACCATGGAACTCCACCCACCACCATGACGACCAAACTTTGAGGATATGGGTAACCGACTGTACCAAAGCGAATCTTCTAGATATAGAGATCTGACTGATTTCATGGATCCGGAATGCATTGACTTCGCTAGATCATCGACCCTACCACAACAGGAAACGCGACGAAACCCACCACGGGAAAGGCGAGGACGCGGGATGCGGAACCGCGAGTCGTTACCGGGTTCCGGGGGACCACTGATTATTTTATATTTTTTGTTTATGTAATCGTTTTGTGTAAATAAAAAGTCGAATTTTAGTGATCCTATATCCTTTACGTAACGTCCCGCATTTAAAATAAAAAGTACAAAAAAATCGTCTCCCCTTTGCACTAAGACGCCATGTCACTTGACTTATGATACACTTTTAACACCTAGGCGCCAAGTGAGATGACGTATCCCCTTTAAAATAAGGTGTATGCGCCAATTGAGATGACTCATCTTTTGTGAAATTTTTTAAAACATAATTATTTGTGTAATTTTATCTAAAACATAGTTATTTACGATTGTTTTTTTCAAAACCTTATTATTGCAAAAAGAAATTCCATTTCTATCATTGTGTATGATTTTTCTCAGTTCAAAGAAGTTGTCAAAGTGATTTAAGTACAATATACCAATGAATGAGCTTAATTTGCATTATTAATTTAAGGGGTGCAATGAAAATTAATTTCAATGAAATATTCGACAACATTATTTTCAGTTTTCAAAAAAGTTATTGTAATAATTTGTCTTTTTAAATTTACTATAATAAGAAATGAATGTTAATTACTAGCCATTTTTAGGAGGATCCTAATAGTTCGAAATTGAATTAGTTCCATCTTAATACAGTAATAACTAATAATTATTAATACTTACTAATTAAGTTAGTTGATAAATTTTTAAGAATATAAAAAAACTTTTGATGTCTTAAATAAAAGGTATAATATGTCATACATAATTTGATTTTTATTTGTCTTAAATATTTGATTATTAGAGTTCCATTAAATTCAATTATGATTAGAAATATATAAAATATTTCATTTAAATTGATTTAATTAAGTAGATTTTTAGAAATTATGAAAATTTACTAAAGTAATATTATTTTATTCGAAATTTATTGTATGAAGATTGAAATTTGTTTCTTCTTTAAAAAGTTTTAAAGTTGAGTGAATTTTAATAAAAAAATCGCACTAATAGTTTATAATAATAATAATTAATAACTATATGATATAGTTTTTATGAAATCATCATAGTTAAGAATAAGAATTAATTATCTATTTTTTAACTTTAATCTGGGTATATTTTTCAATTTGTTGTTTATTATTTGATTTTAGTTGATTGGCCTTTCTATAATTTTTTAATATAAAAAATAATTTCAAACTATAGATAATATTTTTAATTGAATTATAAAAGATAAATTTACCAAAACAATAATTTTTATATATAGAGAAAGTTTCTATTGTTGATTCAATTAATTCAAAATAATTAATATTGTATTGATTCTAATATTTTTTTAAATAATGCCAAAACAAAAATAATAGTTATATAAAAAAACTTATATTATTTTACACATATATTTTTATATAAAAAAAATTATATTCAATGATTTTTTTTTTAAATAATAAGTTTAGTTGATTAAATAATTTTGTCTTTCTTTTATTTCATTTTTATTACACTTTAAACATAAACGCGCGTACCATACAAATATCGTGTGAACGCACATGTAACACACTAGTATCGTGTGAACGCACATGTAACATACTAGTGCACAGGTAACCAGGTCAAAATTTGTGTGGACGCAACGGGTAACATACCACTGTTGTGTGAATGCGACGGGGTAACCAATATTCAAAAAATTCCCTCCAAAAATATGTTCAACACAAACGATAAAACATATTGGCTGCCCTCAATAATTTCTCGGTTAGATTCACACACGATTAAACGCCGGCATCAACATCACCTTTATCGAAACTAAACACATATATCACTTCACAACTTCAATCGAAATCAAAACGAAATAACACCTTAACATGGTGTCGATATCAATACTTCAACATATTAACACCAATTTGAGACTTCAATCCGAATTAAAACAAAACATACTAACACTATCATCATATTCCAATAGAATTACACAGAATTTAATTTGGAATCGACACAAACCACGAACTCGAAACTCAAACAGAATTAACATATTCAAGGCTGATAAAACGTTTCTCATATTAAACTCAAGCAGCATATCATTTCAAATTAAAAGGACAACACAATCGTATCGACATTTTCACAGATTCATAGACGATTATATCAATATATCAGTTCAATTCAAATTTTGTAACAGCTATTCATCACAGAATCTTGACAACAACTCAGTTTAACAGATCAAAAGAAATCGAAACTCACTGAAACATCAAAATTTATTAGAACGAAAACGTTGAAGCTGCTGCGGGATGATGCGAGTGTTGTTG